GGGCTGAGCTGTAAATTCCTGTAAGACAGTTTGCTAAGTTTTTCAGATAAAAGACCCAATAGTTTCTTCCAAAGGCTGACCCTAAAGCAGTGAGGGGGATGGGAGGGCCTCTGCTGCCCAGCAGATGTTGTCAAAATAGCTTTGTCTGTTTAACTGCAGGAAATACAACAGCCCAGGACTATAGCTCATAACATTTTCTCTTCAGTCACAGATAAAGGCTGCTGTGGATTTCTCTCCCTGAGGGAACTTTAGGTGGAGTTTTGTCAGGATCCCCGATGCCACGGAGCAATAGTCGTGAACGTTGCGGTGCCGTGGCATCGACAGGGGCTGGAGGCTGCTCCTCAGAGATAAGCCAGGTCAGTTGTGTACAGCCAGCAAATATTCAACTGTTCTGGACATACCCAGAATGGAGATGCAGCAGATACAGGTGATTATTGATTAGGTTTCAGGTAATGAAGACCTCTTGCTCTTTTAATTCCCCCTGGGGGAAGCTCTACACACAGCCCTGCATGCACTGAGAATTGCTGTGAGGAAGGACCTAAGGCAGAAATTGGGCAATTTGTACGTTTTTCTCATTCTTACCCACTCGTGACAGCACATTTCTCTGTGTGCCAGCTGCTGGCTGGCTGCTGAGCAACTGTGTCGTCAGGCTGAGCGCAGCTGAGGGTTCATCTGAAAATGTATTATTAACCTTAGATTAATCTTCTTCATTATTTATCATTCTTTTTATTAAAACCTGCTTTTGAGGGGCCCAGAGCTGTGGTGAGGTGGAGCTGTGTGGGCAGCCCTGTGTGATGGAGAGGGGAGAGGGAAGAGCCAAGGGGAGAATTATTGGGCGACGCTTTTGGTCCGGGTTGATTCCTTTAAATTATTCCACGATTATTTAAGACCAGAAGATAAAAAATTGATCCGGTGTTCTAGCAGGGTAATGAAACGGTCTGGAGGCCCACAAAAATATGGACAGTGTGTAATTCAGGTAGTTTGCCCTTAAAATAAAACTGTGAGAGAGAAAAAATGGCCCAAAACCCCAGGACCCACAGTGCAGTTGGCAGATGAGAGTGGAGGGGGTGGAGAGGAGCCTTGGGGGACACTCATCAGATAATCAGTTGTGCTTTATCATTGCCTGAATTTCTTGTAGCCATCAAAACACCCCGTTAGTGCCACTTAAGAGAGGAATGGAAGCAAATCAGAGCAAAGAAAAAAAAAAGAAACCACAGAGAAATCTGCAAATTATTCACCAGAAATCAGACTTTTATAAAGTTTCTACAACAACAGTGGGTATGGTTAAAGGTTTGTCCAGCAAAATGTCATTATGGTATTTGGATATGTAAAATAAAATCAGTTTTATTTGGGAAAAAATAGGATTTGGGTATATAAAATATTATAGTATTTGGATACCGTAAAATATGTTTATTATAAAAATATATAAATATGTTTGGCACTTCCCAGACAGGCAATGACACACAGAGAGCCAAGAATCTTGGCTAAATCACATAAAATCACAGTGCTAAATCCAGTTCCTCACCACCACCAGTTGCTCTGCAGTAGTTGAGGGAATAACTTTCTCTCCAGGAAAAACTCCATGTGTTGTTATTACAAACTGAGATGAGCCTCACCTTGCCTTTCAAAATGTCTCAAAATTTTGTGCTCTTGCGGCCATAATTTGGGTTTCTTGGGACAGTTTAAAGGGAGGGTTTCCTAATTTCCTTCATTTCATTTTGTTTTCTTGCCCTGCAGAGTGAAATCTAATTTTTGTGCATCACAATTGACGGGAAATGCTGAAAACCTTGTGTTTCACACAGAAAAGCAGTTCCTGCCTGTCCAACTTGAGAGTGACATAGTGGGTGATAACACAGGAATTATGGGAATCATTAAAAGATTGGATTCATCTCTGTAACTTTCAGTAAAGCCTATAAAAAAATAATAATGTGTTGTACCCACACTGCTCTTATTAAAAATGATAAATGATCCCCATTTTTTGGCTAATACTAATTCCAAAATTTCATTCTTCTCTTCAGCTTTATGGTCACCATAATCTTGATGTTTTAATAGCTTTTCCCATAATAGCCCCAGAGACCTTTTTAAGTGGCAGCCCTGACTTTATGGAAGAGACTTTAAAAAAAAAAAATCAAGAAGAGTTTCTTGCACTTATAAAGGCAAAGACAAATTATATGAATTCCCCAAGACAGGCAACCAAACATTTTTTTGGCAAACCATAAGGTTCTAATTATAATAATTACTCATAGCACAATTTCTGTGCAGCTTCAGTAACTTTTTTTTTTTGCTTCTTGGTTCAATTTAGAAGAAGTTTGAAGTGTTTTTAGTTTTGTTTCTTGTCTTGAACAGAATATTCTGGGGGCAGCACAGGGAGACTTTAATTGAGTTGATCATTGAATGCTTTAGAAAAGTGAGGAGATCTGAAGGTGATCAGGAAAAACTGACCCAAGGGGGCTGTGGGTTTTGCCAGAAATCTCTGCATCTCTCATTTGCCAGGTTTCTCTGCTGGTGGCCTGAAATTGGCTCAAATATTGGCAAATACAGGTCTGAAATCTTCCTGTCATATTCTGGGTTAGAGAGACCTGCTTGAACGTGCTTTAAAGGGGAAATGGAAAGCGTGGTAAAACAGGCAAAAATCACATGAAAGGGACCCCAAATTAGAAAGGAGAAGCTTGTAATAAATTCCTGAAGGAATTAGAGTCTAATGTGTAATTAGAAAAGCACAAAGTGCCTGTTGCTGCTCGTTCTTTGTGCTCAAAGACTCCGTGGTGGTGACTTTGGGAAACGTTTCCATCACGCGCCACCTCGGGCTGAATTTATTTCAAGTGTCTGTTTACACGGTTGTTACAAATTGCCTATGGGATGTGAGCTGTCTATCACTTCCAGAGCAATTAGGAAGTGAAACCTTATCAAAAGAAATCCGTCAAGTTTGAAAAGCCATAAATATTGCACTGGGATCTCTAAGGAAATCAAAGGGAGTTTGATACAGTATTTATTTACATGTTGCTGCACAAGCAGATGCACTTAGAGGTGCTCCAGTCTGTGCTATTCCCTGTGCTCTATATTCCATTAGTCCCATGTTATTTAAGAGAGAGACAATTACCCAGTTGTTTTAAGTATTACATAGCAAAGGACTGCTCCTAAAATCTAATTCTGTGTATTTTGGGCAGTTATATCTTTCTGATTTGCCATGATGAAAGGAAGGCAGAGCTGCAACTTCAGGTCTTTACTGTGTTCCTCAGTGTTATGCAGGCAAATTAATAGTTTGAAGATGGCTTTGGGGCAGATTTTGATGTTTGGCACCCTAGAAATAGGCCTCTTTTAGTTCCCCCTGTGTTGGGTTGCTCTGTTTGGAGGGATCCCAGATCACCACCATTGCACAGCCTTCTGCATGACTGTGACCTGCTTACCAGGGGTTTCCAAGCTGGCACTCAGCTCAAATGACACAATTATTCAAGACTTTTAACTAAGGCAGAGGGGAGGAAAAGCTCCTCCAGCCATTATAGGGTTGGAAAGGCTGTCTTGAAAACGACAGCAGAAGGGCTCTCGACGCCTCTCACCAGCAAAGAGGCAAGAACTCTTCAAGCCAAATGGATCATTAGCCCAGAAGAGCAGACCTATAGAATAGCAGTGAAATATTTAACCTGGAAATTAGAGGGTTCTTAGCAATTAAAGTAATACTGACTCACACAGGGAAGCAGGAGCCAAAACCCTTGCTGGTTTAGGGTGTAATTACACACGGGACTGTGTGACCTCCTGGGGAGGATGGGGAACAGGGGTTGATCCAGAAAGACCATCCCACCCTGGTTTTTTTCTGTGGTCAATTCACCATTCCACAGTCAATGCAAAATGTTGTTGTATTGAAGAGCTCAGGGGGGCTTTGGTGCAAACCTGCTGTGGGCACAGTCACTCCAATTCCAACCCCTCTGTGCATCCCTGGGCAGTGATTTTTATTCACCTGTTGCTGGCTGATGCTGGAGGAGCAAGATAATTGATCACCAAGAGTAAATTAAAAAAAAAAACCAAAACAACAAAAACAACCAAACTTAACTACTTTGCAGCAAATAATAAGCTGGCTGAGAAGTGGTACCTTGTTTGCTCTGAGTATCCTCTTGACATCAGCATGAGGCTCCTTATAATGAGATGCACGTGTGTAAATATGATGATTAGATATTCCCTCATAAACATAATTATCATCTCTTCCTAAAAGTCTGAGCAGGCATTTCAGAATCCTGTTGTTAGAAATAAATAAATAAATAAAAAGCCAACAATCTGCATTCAGCCTCTTCTCTCTGTAAACAGTGGAAGATGAGGGCAGAATATATTTCCCAAAGTACCTAATGAGAGTTGAGGTCAATTAGAGTATTAAAATAAAAGTATGATTTTTGGTATAATTAGTGTTCCCTTAGAAAACTGCAGCAATCCTGTACCCACTTTAGTTCCCCAAGCTTTGTGAGTGTGACTTTGGCAGATGTAACAGGGTTACGTTGCATTAACCTCACCCACAAACTCCGCAGCCGCTGCGACATCTCTCTCACTTCTTGTTTTATTGCCCAAATAACTTCCAAAGCTGCCTTATAAAACACAGAGCACTGTCTAATTAGTCACACAGAAGATTACAGCTGCTTAATTTAGTGTTCAGTTTTTTGCTGATGCGGGGATTCCCAGGGAATAAAACATACAGTGGGTGATGACACGGCTCGGCACATCCTCCTCCCGACCGGCTGTAAAGGGAAAAAAAACATTAACAAGGAGGGGTGAGAGAAGAGTCACGAGTCAGGTTGAAGTGTTCATGACAAAAAGGTGAGACTCTTGTAAAATACATCATATTCTGTCATGAGTCAGGTTGGGATGTTCACAACAGAAAGGTGAGATTCTTGTGCAGTGCATCATTTTTGGGAGAGCCTGGTGGAGACAGGAACGTGAGATCTGTGTGCAGGCTCAGAGGTGTCACAAGTTGCATAAAGATCTCCAATTTTCCCAATCAACCTTGTGCTTCCCAGAGCTCACCTACGCTTGGATCTTCAACGAGTACCCCACCTTCGTGCACCAGGACAACCGGCGCTTCGTGTCGCAGGAGACGGGCAACCTCTACATCGCCAAGGTGGAGGCCTCAGACGTGGGCAACTACACCTGTGTGGTGACCAACAGCGTGACCAACAGCAGGGTCCTGGGCCCCCCCACGCCCCTCATCCTCAGGAATGACGGTAGGACTGGGACAGAGCATCCCGGGCTGGGCTTGGAGATGCTGTCCTGCTTTTTTTTGACTGGCTGTCACCCAGAAGTTCAGGAGTGGCCTGAAATATTTATATCAGAGTAAAGGGAGAGGTTTTTCCCCTTCACAGTGAGGCTGGAGACCTCTGCTGTAGCTGGGGTTCAAAGTCATGGCCAGCAGTGGGATTTAGGGATGCTGCGGCCAAGGTTGCTCTTCCCACCACTGGGAACAGCTCTCAGTGTCAGGCAATAATTATAAAAGAAATACATGGTGAGAGTTGGCAAAAGACAGGAAACAAAATGGATTTTAGAGTCTGGATACACCAGTTTTGCTCATTTTATGCAGCCTGAAAGTGAACAAAAGCACTTTGTTGTTTCGGTAACTGTGAGCTCAGGCTGTATTTCCCAGCAGAATTTGGGCTATTTTTAGTAGTCTGTGGAATAATACAAAAAAGCAAGAAGAAAGCAAAAGAGGATTTCTAAATTTATACAGACAATTGATTTGTATCGTCGTCATTTTTGTGAAGATAAGAAAAATAAATTTGCATGTTAATTCACAATTACAATTAAATTAAAATGTGTCTGTTTAAAGGATAAGAGATAGGACATTTGTTCCAGAAATAGAAATGCATCATTAGCAACTTCTTCTAGAAGAAGATCCATTGTCACATAGTGATATCTGACCAAAATTCCTTGCCTGTAAAACCAGGGCTCATTTCTGCAGCCTCCTGCCTGTCACTGTTCCCAACACGTTGACACAATTCCTGTGGGTGGGGAGTGGGGAAAGCCAAAAAGGGATATTTAAGTTTGCTTCATACTGACAATTTAAGTGTTGAAGAAGCAGTGGCACTGGTTGGGCTTTAAGTCCCTCCCAACCCAGACCATTCTGGGATTCCATGACCTGAGGCACAGCCCTCATTCCCAGCACAGCTCACGGTGCAGGGTGGGATGTGTGGGGCTGAAATCTCACCTGCAGGAACCTCGAGGTTTCTTTTCACATTTCTTCAGTTTATGGCAGTAATTTTTCTGGCCTCAGCTGTGAGTCATTTAGGCTTTTTACATCCAATAGCTGCCATCCCTGTCATGGTTATTTCACCTGAACCAGCCTGGCCAAACAGCCTTTCTGCATGTTTTTTAGAGCATTGCCTGCATTACAGTGCCAGGCTGTGGAGCTGGAAGCTGCAAGAGGAAAAGGTGCAGCCGTAGGGGATGAAATCAGATCCTGTGGGCAGATTGCTTTCCTTCCCCACCTGCTCCTTTTGTGCTCCTCTTTTCCCTGTTTTCCTCTGTGAGGCTCCAGAGCCAGAGATCTCCTGATGGTGTTTGCTGCAATGGGACATGCTCTCCTTGGCAGAACTGGGGTCCCTTCCCTGTTGCTGTGCTGTGGAATCAGAGGGTGCCTCTTATCCCATTAGTTATCCTCAGATAGTTTTCCTAGTTTTCCTCCTTGGAGAGATAAATATCATAGCTGGTTTTGGGATGGAGGTAGGAACAGCTGCCATGGTCACTGTGGGCTCAGGCTCTGCTCCTGCAGACAGAGGTTATTGCTGGTGATAAATACAGCGTACAAAGTGCAGTGTGTGTGCTGGGACAAGGATGGCTTTCCCCTATCCTTCTTAATTCCCATCTCACAAATGCATGCTGTCACCCTCTGCTTAAACATTCCCATGTAGCTCTGTGTGTTTGTGGCAGTGAGGATGTTTGCAGTGCAGGTGGGAAAGTATTTAAACACAATATCCTGTAAATGTAGCATTGCCAAAAACTGCACATTTGTGGCTTGGGACCTGTCCTGGAATGTGTACCCACATTCCACAGAGGAATGTCAAGCAGTTCTCCCTTTCACATCATGTAAGTGCTGGTGCATAAAAGGAAAATGTAGAAGATTTTATGTTTTTTTAGAGTTCCCAAGGAGTTAAAGTTTGATTTTGGCTTGGGTTCTGCATGGATTGGAGTTAGTCCTGACATGACCAGCTGGTCCCTCCCATTGTGGAGAAAGGACTCTCTGAGCTGGTTTTATGTTTGGAAATACAAAATAGCTGAATGTTCATGGCACCAAAGAACAAGAATGATCCTAAAGCCTGAAATAAGGTGCCCACTAGGATTGGAGAATTACTGTAGCTCAGAAAAAAAGGAATTTAAATTTGATGCCAGACAAGCCTGCTGGCAGCTCACTGAGGGATGTGGACTGGAGGGAGAGGAGGAGAGGGAGCAAACTGCCTTCTCCATTTAATAAAACCTGTCTCTGCATCTTTTTCCCCTGGAAGAGCAGTGGATACCTGGGGTGCCATCCCTCCTGCAGCACTTTTGGGAGCCTCTGGACCATCCCACCCCAAAGCTGGGAGCATGCAGGTGTTGAGAGCCACTGCTCCTGCAGTGCTTCACTGCTTCTCTTTAAAATGTGCTTAGGAGTTTTGACATGAGAGTTACAACAGTAATAGTAGGAAAGAACTGAAATAGTCCTGGAATAAAATTACCATCAGCAGCAGCTGGATGGGCCAATTAAACCCTAACATTTCACAGGTGTTGTCAGGAAATGCATATCATCTCCTCAGACAAATTAGCTTCCCTCTGAATTCCTGGGACTTTCATCCAAAAGCACGTTTTTAAGCCTTGAAATTGGAAGATACAAAAGCCTCTGAAATGCAAACACGTCAAGCATCTGATGTGCTGTGACACCAGAGCGTTCTCCGAGCTCCAAACCCCAGGTCTGGTTTAGTCCTTTATTTCCTCCTCCATCCCTGCCACCTGCACAGCTAAGTCAGATGTTAAATCACCCAGGAACAGCAGGAAAAATAAGGATTGTCTGCATGGAAACGGTCTTGGGTTCAGGATGGAGATGTCTGAAGTGCACAGTGTTGCTCCTGTTGAGCAGGGACAGCCAGACTCACATCATACCCTATATGTGGATTTCCTGCTGTGTGTGCTGGCCAGGACATGACTATGGGGGGAGTATTTGTATTTTTAATAAGTGCATTTGGTTGTGATGACTGAGGCTGTGCAGAAGCTGCTCTTCATAGTATCCAGCAGCAACACTTATTTGCAGTTAATGCATTGGAAGAAAGGTGATGTTACCTGCTGTTGCATCAGAACAGGTAATATTCAGGTCAGCAGGTAAAGGCAGACTTGTTGGAAGCCTCATATTGAGTATTTTCAGCTTTATAACTGTGAAAAATTAAAGAAAAAAGGAGGGGTTTGCATCATCTTTGCAAATAGAGGTGCCAGAGAGCAGCACAGCAATCACAGGCCACCATCAGCAGCCCTGATGTACCTGACTATCTCTGCAGACTCCTGTTATCCCATCTCTGTATCCCTTGTGCTGCCTGGATCCTGCATTTGTGGGATTCATCTGCTCTGACCCAGCGCTGCTCCTCGCTTGGCCAAGGGCCAGGAAGCTCCACGCTGTTGAGATTTAAACTGCAATCATCAATTAGCTGATAATCACTATTGGGGAAATTATATGTGCCGGTTTTAAGGCAGTACAGTGACTAGAAATGTAGCCATTTATCATGAGTGTAATGGCCTTTTTATGTGCACAAATTTTTAAACACAATTTCATAAAGAGGCTGCCACGCTCCATGATTTACTGGGGCAGTAAAAATAAAGAAATTGCCCGAAGAGTAGATGATCTCTGCACATCGAAATCCTTGGAGTTAATAGAAACCTCTATTAACTCCAGTGCTTTTAAAACTTTTCCTAATGGCTGTTTGTTCCACATTTCATTTTCTAGAAGGTGCTGAACCTCCCTTGTTATTGCTTTCCTCATCTCACAAGTTACCTGCAGAAACCCCTGAATATTCAAGAGCGAAAAGCAACAGAGCCATGAAGAGATTTTAATCTTTGGCAGATGGTGTGGAGAGCTGGTTCAGATTCTCCTCTGGTAGTAAATGGGAAAAGAGCCCCCACTCCACGGCTGTTAGGAACAGGCCATGTTTAAAATGAATGGATTAATTGGGCAAGTAATGATGTATAGAACAGCTCGGCGCTGGCACGGGAACACTCGCGAATTTACTGCGGAAATTCAACCAAGCCTTAGCATCTCTTTTATGTTCACAGGGGTGATGGGAGAGTATGAGCCGAAAATAGAAGTGCAGTTCCCAGAAACGGTTCCATCTGCAAAAGGAACAACGGTGAAACTGGAGTGCTTTGCCTTGGGGAAGTAAGTTTGATCCATTGTTGTTGTTATTCCTCCAGCTTCTCACTCTTGCAGTTTGTGTTGTAAGAGTTTGCAGCAATTCCTAATGATTCACTTCCCTCAGCAGGAGTTAATTACTGCCAGTTTTCATATCACACAGAGGGCTTTGGGAGCAGGAGCTTGGCTCACCAAAAATATAAATTCTCAAGGGGAAAGAGATGGGACTTAATCTGAGGAGATGTGTTTGGGCTTCTCCTGTGTTGAGCTCTCGTGTAACACTTAAAACACATCTTTGGTTTCATGAGTAAACACTGGCAACACTTTCAAAATGTTTGGACTGTTAGGAAAATGATCACGGAATCATGGAATGGTTTGGGTTGGAAGGGGTTTTAAGGATCATCTCATTCCACCCACCTGCCCTGGGTAGGGACACCTTCCACTAGCCCAGGTTGCTCCAACCTGGCCTTGGACACTTCCAGGGCTGGGGCAGCCACAGCTTCTCTGGGCACCCTGTGCCAGGACCTCCCCACCCTAAAATGGCTGTATTGTCACATCAGAACTGTGTCAAAGCCAGCATTTTAATAACATAAAGTCTCCTGGTTTTAAGGCTCTGTGAGCAATACTTTGCTGATGTGTGTATATTTATTTTATATATAACCTACCCACAATAAAATTGTCCCAGATCCTGTGCCAGAGTCTTCCCACTGACCATTTCTTCATCATCCTCAAACATGAGACAGGGTGAAGTTGACAGGAGCTTCTCAGGACAAGCCCCGTGGCTTTCCCTGCGAGCCTGATTTTGTTTTATTTTCCTTATTTAGCCCAGTTCCTACAATCAGCTGGAGGAGAGCAGATGGGAAACAGATCCCCAGAAAAGCCAGGAGGCACAGGTCGAGCGGGCTCCTCGAAATCCCAAATTTTCAGCAAGAAGACGCCGGGCTCTACGAATGTGTAGCTGAAAACGTGAGAGGGAAGAACGTGGCACGAGGACAGCTGACATTTTATGGTAAGCAGGCTGCCTGCTTCCAGGGGGGGTCATTGCACCCAGTGCAACGTGCAGGAAATGTTTGGTGAGGACGTCATTCTGTGAGGGGATCTTTAAAATGACTTCCTTTTCAAATGGCACATCTCAAGAAGGGTGGGATTTGAAATGAAACCATAAATAAAAATGATGCATATTAATTGAGAGTCAGAGCAGTTGGAAGGAAAACATATCACTGGGAGGACATTGGCATGGTAACAGGATGAAAACACTTGGAAAGGGCTCGTTTGCCTTCTCCTGGCTGGGAGGGGAAGGCAGGTATTCCGTGGGAGCATCCTCGTGGTTACAGCTTGGGATTCATTATGGGTGGGTTACCCCAGCTTGTGTGAATAAATGTTAATTGCTTATAACCAATTAAGGACTCCTTTCAAGAGGGATCACTGATGGCACAGCCTGGAGAGTTGGGATTTAACCCTGTCAGAGCCACCAGAGCCTTCTCAACTCGAAGGCTTTTTATACCTTCTCTTCTCTCGCTGCAGTCCAAGTGTGTGAGCCAAGCATGACAAAAATGGGAAATATCAGCTTCATGGGCCCCTGTGTTGAGGACAGAAATTCAGTGTTTTCTTTCCAAATGCTCCTGAAGGTCCAGCTCCACTCATCAGGAAAGGTTGGGTTGAACTCCAAAGATGACAAGAATATTTTTTGGTTTATAGTAATTTTGCCACACTAAAAAAAACGTTTGGGAACTAACCCTCCTGGCAAAGCTGAATTGAATTTGATGGGTAATGTAAATTTATTTTTTTTTAAAAGCATATATAGGGATGTTTTCAAACTGGAAGTATTTCTAAAAGACATTTAATTTAAAAATCAGAACTTTGGGGGCTTCCATTTCAAATGAACATTTCTCCTTTTAAAATTGAGTAAAATACAAAACGAGAAAACATTAAAAAGGAGTGAAAGCGCAAGAACAAAGCGAAACCTTTCCTGTTAAGGAGAGAATCTGGAGCTGATTTGAGCTGGGTTTAATTTTTGTAATTAAATGATTTAAAGATTCCTTTTCCTGTTCATCAAACGATGTGTGTTTCTCCTGATTTTTCCCATGTGGAGAGTAAATTAAAAGACTCATCACTTGTACAGTTTTGCTCAACCCACGGCCAAAGCTGCCTCGTAAAGCAGTAAAAGGAGCCTTTGGAATACTCCCACCATAGGAGCCTTTGGAATACTCCCACCATACATATATTAAGTTATAATCTCATTACTGTAATGGATTTACCAGCCTGGATCCCATTGCTGGAGGGCTGAGGATCCTACACAAAAGCTGCCACTGTGGCTCGTGCTGCTTCTCACGCTCAAGATGGCATTTCAGCAGAGAAGCTCAGGATTTTTTGGGAAGAGGAGTGTCCTCCTCCCTCTGGGATGGTGAGATGTCCCTGCATCTGTTCCATGGGAGCAGAGGAGTTCCCAATGGAGAGGTGGCAGCCGGTTGTCTCCGTTGGTTACTGGTTTTAAAGATAAATAATTGACAAAAATACCATGCTTGTTGTCTTGAGGGTGATGATTTAGCAGTTAAGTACTTATCTTTCAAGCATAACTTGAGCTTGGCAGCCTATTAGACTGAAAACAGATCTCCTAAAGAAAAAAAAACAACTTGCATTCTGGGCTCTGGAGTTCCACATGGCAGCAGAATTTTCTGAGGGAAAGTAACTTACTGTGAACTTTTTATATGAATAATTGAAAAAAAGAACATTGTTTTACTTAATGAGCTTTCCTGTTTACAACTGGGAAATGTAATTTCATTATTGAAATGCAGCTGTAATGTTGGCAGAGCTTTCAGGTTGCTTTTGGGGGGTCAGGGTTGGTGCCTGGAGTGGGGAAAGCTCTGGAGATGCTGAAAGAGAGCAGGTTTAGGTTGGATATTGGGAAGAAATTGTTTCCAGTGAGGCCCTGGCACAGGTTGCCCAGAGAAGCTGTGGCTGCCCCATCCCTGGGAGTGTCCCAGGCCAGGCTGGATGGGGCTTAGAGCAATGTGGGTTGGTGGAAGGTGTCCCTGCACATGGCAGGGGGTGACACTGGGTGGTCTTTAAGATCCCTTCCAACCCAAACCATTCCATGATTCCATGCAATATGGGCAGTCCCAAGTGCCACCTACGCTCAGTGGCATGCTCTGTCATAACATGTGTCCCAAAGATCACAGTCTGGCTCTGACAGCACCTCAAACCCACTTATCAGCCTCTTTGTGTTGCATAAAACGAGAAAAATAGAAGAAAAAGTAATTCAGATTTACCTGCTCACTGTAGATAACCCAGCATTGTCAGCTCTTCCCATGCTCCTGGAAGTTGTCAGGGAAGGTTGACTTTTGCTGTATTTCATTCTTGTATCAATGTTTATTTTCTCCTCTGGTAGCATATCAGTGACACTGAAGTTGTTTGACATTCTTGTTGCAGCAGAAAAGGTTAATTAAACATGTGAGATCTGTTCTTCCTCCATTTTCTGCTCTGGGCCCCTGCACCAGGCTGTGTTTTACTGCTCTGCAGCAGCATTTGTTCCAAGTGCTGCACGTCCCACTTGATGGATAGACCTTCACAGTGGCAACATGTTCATGTTAATGCAATTACAGTCACTTATCCCCGTTTCCTTGACTGATGTGACTCTCAACAACACATCACTTGTTTCCTTGCTGTGCCTCTTGTTCTCTCTCCTACTCCTAAACAGGTACCACGTGCCTCAAGGTAATCCCTGAGCAAGGCACGGGGTGTAACTCTTGGGGTGTCCTGTGCGAGGCCCGGAGTTGGACTGGCCGATCCTTGTGGGTCCTGTCCAGCTCAGGATACTCCGTGGTTGTGAATTAACAAATCAGACTGCAAAAATCTCCTCTCTTCCATCTTTCAGCAGCCAGAACTGCACATCCTGCTGCCTTCCTGACTTTGCTTGTTCCGTGCAGACCCTGTGGCTGAGGCAGGGGAGGTGCCCGCTGTGACCCGGTGTCACCACGGCCACGGCACTGGCTGAACCACAGCCTGTGCTCCCAGTGCCTGTTTTCCCACTGAACTCACAGCTCTCTCCGTGTGTTTTGATCCACAGCATTTGGGAAGCACTCCCATTGACCTGGTTCTATTTTTAATCGGGCTGCTCATAAATTTTACATTTGAGAACCCTCCACGAGGCTCTGATTTATACCCCGAGCAGAAAGCAGTGCCAACAGTTGTTTGGCTCTTGGCAGAAGCACAGTAAACAGATTACCTTAACCAGCTAATTTAAAAAGAAATTGCCTTCTCGTTCATAAAACCAGCAGCAAGGAGATGCTTATTTATTATTGACCTTGTTTCATTCATGTGAAGTTCAGATGCTGTTTCACTCTGATCTTCCAACAGTTGCATCCTAGAGACTGTCCTAAGTATAGGACAAGAGGCAACAGGCAGGTTGAGCTCATAAGATGTTGCTTTGGCTGCTCATCCCTGTGCTCAAAGCCTTCCCCACAACTGCTGAGAGTCTCATTGCCCCTTCTGGGGGTCCATCTTTTCTCCCAGTAACAAGTGATAGGAGAAGAGGAAACAGCTTCAGGGGACCTCTAGGTTGGATATCAGGAAAAATTTCTCCTCTGCAGAAGTTATGCATTTGAACAGGGTGCCCAGGGCAGGGGGGAGTCTCCATCCCTGGAGGGATTTAAAAGCTGTGTAGATGTGGCACCTGGGGACATGGGTTAGTGGTTGGACACTGTGATTTTAGAGGGCTTTTCCAACCTATATGATTCTACAGGTTTGCTGATGTGCCTTGGCCAGGTTCTCCCTGCTGACCATCATCCCAAGTCTCTGTGCCACCACAAGGACACGGCTCTCCTGGACTTTTTTAAAATATGAGCGTGGGTTTTTTATGCAAAGTATGAAACAAGATGGTTGTGCTGGTGCTTTCCAGTCAGATCAGCACTGGAAAATATCCAAGTGGTACTTGGCTCAGTTTCCAGCACAGGTGTGGGTGCTGACTCAGCATCATCTGTGTTGCCCCAGGGTGCTCCAGCATCTCCCTGCTGAGCTCGTCCACTCCTCCTGGGACAGCCCAGGCAAGGAGGAAAAAAAATACAGTCAAAATGGTTTCCAAAAGTGCCAGTGCAGCAGCATCTGCATTAGGACAGACAGACTTATTTGTCACTAATTACAGTTCTTTGCAGCATTTTGTAAGATATTCAGTACAAGCCATTTAATTGGCTGGACCGCTTTTCACATTAAATACTTCTCAAATCAAAGTCCCACCAGGAATTTATGCAGCTCCTTAATTTTCCAGTGAAAAAAGTCCCCTTTTCATCAGCAAGCCTGTTTTATTTGTGTGAGAGCTACTTTATGCCACTCTATAAAACAACCTCCAATGTAAATCATATTATGCTCTTCATTATGGTTAGAGGTCTAAAAAGGAAATTTGCATAAGTGAAAATCAGGCAGTTTTATGTCTCAGCTCAGCTTAGGTCCCAAATCACAAATAATTTACTGAAAATTCAAAGCCACTTTAAATAAAACGAGTTTCTGGACTGATAAAAATACAAGGAAATTCACGTAAATAGGGCAAGTAGATGTTATAATTAATTATCATTTACATCACTCCCTAGAAAACCCTGCTGCTGCCTGTTACAGAGGTTCCTGTTAGTGCAGGAGGGAATAACTCTTCAGTTTTGAATTATTTGCTACCCAAGGGAAGTCTTGCATCCAGGAAAAGTCTCTGCACAGAGAACAGGTGTGCTTCTCCTCCCTTTTTCCTTTTCCAAGGGATTGATGGAAACCTGCTTACAGAGGAATCCAATTTTTAGGAGATTTAGAAAAACTGCTCAAATTGTTATCATTGTGGCTTGGAAAAATAGCTCTTGAGCAGGAGAAGCCAAAAATACAAATAGGTATGAGAAATGAAGTGTGAAGGCTCACAGAGCACCCTACACCTTCCTTACACCCCTGAGTAGCTGCAGTGTGGAGTATCAGGGATGAAAAATAACTAAATCCCCGAGAGCTGCTCTTAATGAACTGTCCACAGTCATTTGGGGCCTGGGATAACTGGGGAGAAAGTCATGTAATGGTGCAGAACAGCTCATGGAACAGGAGGTAAGGACAATTTAATTCTTTTTATCAGCTAACTCCTTCAGATTTCTTCTGGTGTGCAATATTTTAGTCCCAGGCAGAACTCCCAGACTGCTTCACTGTGGTCAGAGGCAGAAGGGAGACATCCTGCACAAGTGGCAGTATCTGGAGCTCTCTCCAAAGGCACACAGACAACTGGACATCCTTTAGGTGCGAGGTCCAAGCAGGTTGGTTTGGTGGAGGATTAGCACAGCTTGAAGTTGCACAGATTTCAAATAATCCTTAATTAGCAGCAGAGGCCAGGATGAAGGGAAGAGAGAGGAAAAGCGATAGCTGGAGGTCTGGTTTCACATTGCTGTGGTCATTGGGAAGGATCACAAATCAGAGGCCTGAGGGGTTTGTGTGGAGCAGCTGCATCCCCATTTGGAGCAGTGCATCATCTGCACAAACCTCACCCACTGGCTGCACTCCTTATTTTCAATTACTCCTCTGTTTTTCCCATCTCTTTTTCTTACTTCTCATGCTTGGCTTTCTGGTCTTTAGGCTTTTCTGATCCTGGGCTCAGCCTCAATCTCCTTAGAATAGATATAGTAATGGACAAGTCATTCAGCCTTTCATGTGCCATTAATGATGAATTACACAGCCTGCACCAGGTCATCAGCTGCTAGAAATTGGCTTAGGAACACTGAAATCAATATACACCGACCGAGAATTGGATTCTCTGTATGTATTAGCACCTCATTTGCTTTAGTCTTTTTGGTTGTTTTGAACTCACAGATGATTGCAGAGTCCTGCAGGTTTATTTCTGGATTTTTTTTTCCTCACGTTGCTCCCATAGTTCTGTGGGTTTGTTACTCATTTCTGAGGTGATGCATCATCAGTGGCCCCCTTGTTTCGTTTTTGGATGTCTTTTAGGACATGATTTCTGGTCTGGGTTTCCAGTGCCTTCTTCTGCCTTTCAGTTTATTACAATGAAGGACTGATTCTTTGTGGATTTTTTTTGTCTTAGAGAAGTAATATTATATTTGGGCATTTTTTCATAATCACCTGTTTTGAAATGCCCCACTTTGCACTGGTCAAGACTGGAAGGTGATCAAAGGTAAATGTTTTTTTTCTAACTGCTGCCATCATTTTTCTTCTGTCCCCTGAGTACTTATTCCAGCCAGCTCTCATCTCCTAGGAGGGGGACAGTTTCCTTCAAAGCTGCCCTTATGTAAGAGCTGTGCTTCTCTCTAAGCTTTTTCTTTCACTTTATAGACTTAGCATATGAATTTTTCTTACAATGCAGATGAATTCTTAATCATCTTCCAGATTTTTCCTCCAGGATGTTCCCAAGGCCAGTAAATACCTTAAATACTCCAAACAGGCCCAAAATATATTTCCAGACCCAAAAGAATTCATCTTTGGTTGGCACCACTGAAATGATCCGAAGGACTTTTCCTAGACCTCCTCTACCAGTCACAAACTAAACCTTGTCATTGCCTTAAATGATGTTGCTATAGCAGAAGGTGTTGCAGTAGTGTGGAGCTGGTTTCCTACCCTTATTTGAATTACTTTAATTATCATGCTTGGAATCTTGTGTCGCATTTCCCTGTCCTGGTACGATCCCCCAGTGGGCAGCTGTCAAATTCCATTATCTCGTGGCCACTCTCATTTGGTGGCTCAAACATCTTTGCTGCGTGAACCAACCCTTGAGTATTCCCCAGGATTAAGTCAGGAGTGTGGCTGCTCCTCTCTGCAAGCCACTCTTGAAAGGAGAGGTTGACCTAATTAGAAAAGTCTCCCAAAGAGCAGCGAGAACGAAGCTCCTGCGAAACAAAGGACCGCGACGCCTTTGGCTGAGTTCATTTGTCACCTGCTCTGCTCGTTGTCTGCATCAAAAGTGGCTTTGGGATTGAAAATTTGTTCAGTTAAAATAACTGGAGGGGGTGAAGGGTGGTATTGGGTTGTGGCTCGTGGGTGCTGCACCAAGGGGTGATGTGAATTTTAGGGGTGGCAGCTTCCAGCACTGCACCCGCTGCCAGGGCACGAGGTTGGATGAGAAACCACCAAAGTCCCCCAGAAATGCCTTTTGCTGCCTTGGGTGACAGTTTCACTTACTTGGGGAGTCTGCCTGAAACGAGGATAAATTCTGAATTTTCTTTCCTCACCTTTCCTTTTACACTTATGGTATAGAACACACCTTTACCTTCCATGAGTTTTCTTGATTTACAGGTTAATTCCAGTTGTTTTGTCTGACTTCTTGTGTTTTCATATGGGTAATCCATAAAGCAGCACTGTAAAAAAAAAAAAAAAGGCAAATGGATCTGTGTAGGTTTTATAAAGCTCCTCTTACAGTATCATAACATTCTCTTCAAAAATATGAGTTCGATGTTGCTAGAATAGTAAATATGTAAATTCAGGAGTAATTTGCAAATGTCCTTGAGCCACTGAACCCGCTGCAGTCTCGGCTCGATGGAATTGTTCTTTATCCACATGACAGAAGTGCCTTTCATCTTCCTACATTTAAAGGCTTCCCCTTTCATATCTCTTTAGATACAGACAATAAACAAGCTTAAAGTATTACAGGGGCAGGAGGGGCAGTCAGGGAAATAAACAGTGCTCGCTTCTCCTTTCGAGCACCTCTTTTACTTGCGCCTTGCCCGTCCCTTGGAGTTCAGATGCTGTGCAACACCCCCCCCCCTCCAGCTTTTTGGGGGCTTTTTAGGCATCATGAGAAGTGTGCAGGGTGGTTGGTGTGGGATTAAACACGTCTGTCCCAGCCTCAGCACGGTTCTCAGAGACACTCAGCTCTCTGAATGTGAATTTCCATCAGACAAACCAGTGTTTTGGATGTAATCATACCAACTTACCACTTGGATATGATGTTTTTTCATTTATCCTTGCAGACCCATCTCTGTCCCTGGTCCCTATCGAAAGTTGTAACTTTTTTTTTGAGTAATCTTAATTTTTTCTTTTCTCTGATTACACAGGGAAAAGTATTAATCAGGTTCTTGGGGACCTCTGCTGGTAATACCTTCCTGCTAAGTCAGGTTTTCTTGTGTCAAAGCAGGACAAGTGGCCATTAAAGAAACCTGAACTCTGTCTTTTAATGGTACTTTGTGAAAACTATTGAAGTTCTGTCTAGACAGATGGGGCTTATGAAGGTAACATAAGAAACTCTGAGGTTTTTTTTATGGTCTCCAAAAACATGTGGCAATTTTAGTGGAATTTGATTTACATGTGGTGTCTGGCTAAACTTAGGCTCTATTAAAAAAAAAAAAAAGCCATCGAAGTGATACAAATATGTAAAAATCAGTTAAAAATATAAGTGTCAGAAAGCTGCAAATGTCAGCTTTCTCCACATTCTACCAAATTGTGCCTCCAGTACCTGCTTTGGGACTTTCAGAGTTCATTCAGTGTCATTAATTCAGTGTTTGGGTCCAGAGATTTCTCATACCCATGGAAGATGTTCCATGTGGATATGGCCCTAATCTAAGACAGGACTCAGAGCTTGGACCTGACATAGTGCCTATACCCACATAGGCCTGAGTTACTGGAATAACCTTAATTTCAGTGCAGAGATGGTTCTAAATTACAAGTTTTGAAGTTGGATGCTAAATTTTAGACCTTTGAAGCCTAAATCATATAGGTCCTGAAGAGGAAAATGTCCCTGTTTGAAGGACCAGGGGTGTACAAATGTCATTCATTGCACTGAGGCAGCAGATGATGAGCTGTTGCTTTGGTTTTGTATAATGATCAGGATTCCTGAACCTTTTTTTTTTTCATTAAGAGCTTTTACCAAAAATAACATAAAATCAGGTTCTGATCTTGCCACCTTCAGAAAGCAGAGTTGGACTCAGGGAAGAAAAACACTCTTTAGCAATTCTTAATCCCGTCATTAAACCCAACATTTAAACGTGCAGATGAAGAAAGAGACGTCACCTGCTGGTTCCAAACACAAGGCTTCACCCATTGCTTCTGCTTTGCAGCTCAGCCCAGCTGGGTGCAGAAGATGAGCGATGTCCACGCAGCCATTGAGGACCGCGTGTCCTGGGAGTGCCGGGCCAGCGGGAGACCCAAACCCTCGTACCGCTGGCTGAAGGATGGGGAGCCTCTGCTGGCACAGGTAGGCACCACCAGAGCCCCTCACTGGGGCTCACAGAGTCTCGGCTCGGCAGGTTCTTGGATGCTCTGCCCACTCTCTGATCTCTGGGTGTTCATTCGTTTTGGAACGGAGAGGATGGGGGTGCTCCACAAGCACAGAGTGGGTTGGGTTGGAAGGGACCCTCAAGATCATCCAGTTCCACCCCCTGCCACGGGCAGGGACCCCTTCTACCAGCCCAGGTTGCTCCAAGCCCCATCCAACCTGGCCTGGGACACTCCCAGGGATGGGGCAGCCACAGCTTCTCTGGGATCCTGTGCCAGGGTATCCCCACCCTCACAGTAAATCCCCACCCCCGTGGGCACCTCTGAGCAGCTTCAGGAGGGCTGCTGTCAGTGCTGAGTGGGACACACAGCAGCAGGTCCTCCCCAAAATGAAGGACCCAAGGTGCAAACCTAAGGGTGGAGAGACCCTCGTGAAGAGGAAGGGATGGCTGAATGGGACTGTGGCCCCTCTTGCCACAAAACCATCACCCCGGATCAGTTTTTTAATGTATGATATGAACTTCAAATGGTAATGAAACCTTGGTGTTGCTGCTGGTTTTCAATGGTGTTCCCACCCCTCCTGCTGAGCTGTGTCTCTGTGCAGGTGACCAGGGGCTGTGGACCTGCATCCCCTGCCCAGCTCTCATGGGGGGTCATCTCTCAGTCCGTGATCCCCCATTACAACCACAAACTAAACCAAGTCACCCCAGCTTTGCTTTCACAGCAGTTCACACTTTTTTTCCCTGCACTTACTATGAAAGGACATGGCAGCCCAGATTTGATCAAACCCCAATACAGATTGCACAAACATTACATTTCTGCCCTGCAGCCACACAGAAAACTAGTAGCTCTTTATTTTAGTTGTGGTTTTTTTTTTTTTTAAATGTCAGAACTCCCAGGGAGGGAGGGAACACTTTGCTGTACTTATTAGAATTGATAACATGAGCTCCATATCCTTAGGCTGATAAATGGTAGCCTGGTCTTTTTTGCCACACACTAATTTTCCTTGCTCCATGCTGGTCATTGGCAGATGCTCTTGTACTTGAATCATGTGGCTGATATGAACTAAAGGATCATTACATTCTAACATCTCTGTTGTTTTCAGTAAATTTCAGAGGATTTTAACTATTTCTCTCTGTGCTGGCTAAGATGGCAAGCAGTCCTACCAGCCTTCATTGCTATATATGCTCAAAATGGTCTCAAGCTGTGCCAGGGGAGGGTCAGGTTGGACATCAGGAGGAATTTCTCCATGGAAAGGGTGCTCAGGCACTGGCAGGGGCTGCCCAGGGAGGTGGTGGAATCCCCAGCCCTGAAGGTGTCCAAGGAATGACTGGACATGGCACTCAGTGCTCTGGGCAGGGGGACAAGGTGGTGTTTGGTCAAAGGTTGGGCTCAGTGATCTTCGAGGTCTTTTCCAACCTCAGTGTTTCTGTTCTTCTGTGAAAATACCATTGTTTCAAATGTTTTTGAGAACTGGGTCTGGCTCTGATATGCCACTGTGGAACAAAATGCGTTTTTTGCTTCAAGCTTATCTACTTGAAAGGGATATTAATCTAAATGGTTTGGGTATTAAATCAATGAGAGGTCAAGGGAAAGTCCTCCAATTTAAATTGCATTTACCAACTACTATATTGGTTTTACCATTTAGTCTCTAACCTGACATAAATTTGGCTGGCAGACAAATAGATTGGAACATGCAAATTCTCCCTATTACTGCTACAGTTTTGTTTTGGGTTTTTTTTGCCCACCTTGGTATAAAATATAGCACAGCAACCTCTGGCTTTGTGTTCCAAGTAAGGATCTCCTTGTTCACTGTTAATTTGCTGTCCTGTTCCCCACAGGGCAGGGTTCAGCTGGAGCAGGGCTCCCTCACCATCACCAACGTCAGTCTGTCGGATGCTGGCATGTATCAGTGCGTGGCAGAGAACAGGCATGGCAGCATTTTTGCCAGTGCAGAGCTGAGTGTCATAGGTAAGTTTGCTTTCCCTGAGCCCTGCAGACCTTCCAAAACCAGGAAGATCTTTGCCCAAGCAGGTTTTGCCAAGTTTCAGCGCCTGAAGCAGAAAGTGCTGCTGGGGATCTTTGGCAAGTTGTTTGAGGAAGGCATGAAATGAAAACTTGAGAAAGTGGGTAGATGGAGAACAGATTTTTTTACATCACCCCATACTCTCATATTCCTCCAGGTGACAGAGCACGGAGAGCTGACAAGTGCATTCAGTCTCTTGCTGGTTAGAAATGTTTATGGAGAACCCAAAGTACTGGTGTTCAGAGGGGGTTGCAGAGGTGACTGATGAGGAGATGTGGACAAACCTCCTGTCTGAATAGACCTCTCATCATTCTAATGCTCTCATCCCAAACCTTCTCCAAGAAAAGAGCTTCTACCCCACCTCTTTTGAGCACACCTGCCCCGCTCCTGCCAGTTGGTATCAGGAGAAGCTCATGTGAATCCAAGTAGTGAAATTCCTGGTGGGAGGGAGAAGAGATTTCAGAGCAGGATCTTCTCAGGGGTGCCCAGTGCCACAATCTGAAACACAGGAAATGCCACTTTAACATAAGAAAAACTTCCCTGGGAGGTTGGTTAGAACAGGTTGTCCAGAGACATTGTGGCATCTTTGTCCTTGGAAATACTCAACATCCAACTGGTCATGACCCTGAACAACCTGCTGTAGCTGCTCCTGGTGGAGCAGGGGTGAGATGAAACCATCCCAGAGCTCCCTGCCAGCCTTGGGTGTCCTGCCAGTCTGCAACTCATTCACAAATGTTGTTCATGTGCAGGTGGCAGGCCTGGAAAATGCTGTGTCAGCACAGAGATGTAGTTTCAAAGGGTTAAATAGAATAACTGGTGGCAAAATAGTGTTGTTTGCAAACCAAACATTCAATATTAGCAGTCCCTGTTTTATCCTGAAGAACAAAGCATGGGGTTTTTTTCCCAGTGTGGCATTTTCAATTATTGGTCATTTTTTATCATCAGTGATAGATGCCTGAGTAGAAAAAAAATTCATTTGAAGGATTGGCTGTGTTGCTGTTGGAGAAAAGGACGATAATGCTCAATAAATTAGACATCACAATGCTGAGATTTATTGGACGTGTTAGTGCATGAAAGAAATCGAAATAAACCCACTGATGCTTTTCCTGTCTGTTTAAAAGCTGGGAAAAACGAGGTTTGGGAGGGAGGGAGGGAGATGTTCTCAGGAGAGGTTCAGCCCTTGTTGGTGGGGATCCCCAGCAGCACCTCATGTCCACGTGGAGAGCAAAGATCTTGAAGATCTTGAGCTCGGAAACCTGGCAGAGAACTTTTAATGGGCCAACTTCTCATTTGGGTTATGCACTCTTTTTTCTGTATGTCCCCCAAGTGATGTGCTGCAGATAAATTTCTCTGGATGTGTGGTTGAACTTGGGGAGTTTTCTAAAGGTAAAGCAGCATGTTTGCCTTTTCTCTAGAGCTTTCAAAGGAGGGCAACATTGTGAGCCCTCCCTGAGAAATATTGCCTTTTCGACAGATCTGAGTGTTCAAATGGTTATTTTAAAAGGTCCTAAAGTTAAGCACTTGAGATGATGAAACACCACTAATAGCAAGTGAGACTTACAGCAAAAATTAAGTGAAAAAAGAGAAATGGAAAATTACAGACAGAGATTTTCTCTGAGTGATTCTTCTCATTTATTGTTGCCAATTAGATTGCCGGCAGTCCTTAAATAAAAGCAGAATCCTGTTGAGCTGGGCATTGTGAAATGCATATAGCAAGGTGCAGTCAGTGTCTTTCAGAATTTTCAGGCTAAATGTTTTAAAATAATAAATCAACAGGGTGGGCCTATGGTAGAAAAAAAGAAATCATTAAAATCCTCAATTTAAAAGCAAAGTGTGAAGAAATTAAATGCATTTAAGTGGCAGAGGGAAGCTGTGCTAGTGTCGAGAAGTGAGCCCAGAGTTTCTAAATGTCAAGTGACAACATTTTGAACGTCACAAAATAAACCCCATATTGAGCAACTCCTCTGTCTCACACAGGACCAAGAGAAAAATAGCAAATGACTCACGAAAAAAACCAGTCTAAACTGTTCACTGCAGAGGTGGAAACAACAGGATTATTCAAAAATCTGTTTTGCTCATAAATTTGGAAGAATCATCTGAGAAATTAGTTCCAGAAGTGATAATGTATTAATAATGATACACAATATAAATAATTGCCCATCTGGTTCCGAGTGCATTGGTGGGACGTTGTCCTCAGGATGCCTCCCTTAATTTTGGAGTGTTTGACAAGCCCAGTGCTGGTTTCAGATGGCTCTTCCATAGTCTTTAATGACACACCTGTCTTCCTCTGTGCCAAAGTGAAGCCAACTGCCTGTGAATTGATGTGGAAGACGAGACAGCTCAGAGATGAGCAAACTCCGATTCATAAAATAGGATGATGAGCACTATTGGATCATAAAGCCCATCCCATTATCAGCCTAGGATTAGGCTTTATTCAACTCCTTTGCAGCAGGAATGGTTTCCTAAAGGATTGAGGCAGATGAGATGCCCTGAGAAAAGTGAATTTGCTGGGTTTTGTCTCCCAGCTGCTGCAGGTGAACTTTAGATCTTGTCATGGAGAGCACCGAGAGGGTGCAAAGTACAGTGATCTAAACTCTCATCTCACGGGGTGCAGCAAAACAGCAAGTCAAGGATAATGTTGTGAGGCATCCAGGGATGGAGCAGGAGGTGCAGGCTGCAGGCATGGAGCTGTCAGAGAGGGTGGAGAGAGCTAGAGGGGACTGGGCAGGGATTGCTGCCACTGATCCATCACAAAGCCAAGCTCCTGACAGCAAAACATAGCGAGCAGGGCAAGAGTTGTTCATAAAACCCCTTAAGCCATCTCACCTGTTTGCTTTTTGAGCTTTCTGTATTGAAAAAAAATTAATTGTCCTGCTTGATATAAATAAAACCTTCTGGTCACCTTTGGGGATTTCAGTGCCTGAGTCAGTCTGGAGGCAGCAGCCTCAGAGCTCTGCCTGTCATCAGGTCCCATCAAACACACCATTAAAAAGCCTTTGAGGCAGGATCAGGAGCCAAAGCATCTCCTTGCTCCCTGTCCTGCCTCCCAGGCAGACTGCAGATTGTCTGCAGGGCTTTGGAGTTGGTTCAGTGGGTATCTGACTGGTTTTCACCAAACACAAGTGTGCCCTGCAGGGAGTAAAAGAGCTGATTTGAGAACACCTTGTGCCCTGGCACCAACAAGCCCTGCCTTGTTTTGCTTGGATCAGGACCTGGCTGTGTCAAGGTGTCCCACCTTTATAGAATTAAAATAAATAACCCAGTTTATGCAACAATTATGAATGGAAAGCATAAAAATGTCCACTTTTCTGGAAATATTAACATTTCTGATTAGTGGTACAGGCTCTGTGTTTGTGACAATTTTCCTGCGTACTGTTGATTGACAAAAGGGTGATCAGGACACAACAAAGGAAATGTTTGATACACCCCATGCATCATGTGTGGTTCTTAGGGGTGCTCCCCTCAGTAAAATGTGCTTGCTGGGGTTACTGGTTTCTCAGCTTTTTGGCTAAACATGCATTTTGAACCAAGCCTTGAAGCTCTCAGGTGTCTGTTTGCCCCAGCTGCACGTGGTTCATAAAGTCCAGTCATGAAGGAATTCCAAGTGAGAAACAGCCCTGGAAAGCTGCAATGTTCCAAAGAGTCTGAATTTGTTTTTTCCAGAGGGGATTCTGATGTGGTTTGTGTTGTTTCTTTTCTTTCAGCCATCGGGCCAGACTTCTCCAAAACACTCTTGAAGAAGTTAACTCTTGTGAAAGTGGGTGGTGAAGTCATCATTGAGTGTAAGCCCAAAGCTTCCCCCAGACCTACTTATTCTTGGAAGAAAGGAAAAGACATCCTAAGAGAAAATGAGAGGTAATGTCTTAAAGTAACCATTTCTTTCATTAACTTGCTCCAACCCAGGGACTTGCAGCAATGAAAGCTAAATTTGTCATTAATAGCTTCACAAAATTGACTTGCAAATACATGTGGAAACTGTTCAGTCTCAAGGAGCTGGTGAGATTCCTATTCCCATTGTGCCCTCCCCATCTCTGTGTGCTGCTAAAGCATCCCTGCCAAGAAGCTGATAAAGATGCACTCCAAAAAAAAAAAAAAACTTTGCCTCTGCATTGCTCTAAATAGCCATTGTTTAAAAAAACAAAAAATACCCAGGAGATAAAAGTCTCCACTGCAAATTACACGGCTCTGGTCCATTACTCACTGCACTGCAAATGGGAATTATTTGGGGCCAGTAATTAATTTGGCAGTCCTAAAACCTGACTTGGAAGTGGCTTTTGCAGGCTGGCCAAGCAATTTTTTTCTTTTTTTTTTTTTTTTAAATTCAAAAGGAGAGCGTTAGTAGGAAGTTGGAGTCAACCTTTCAAGTCCTCATGTGGTGTTGCAGTGATTTGTTGTTGGTGTAGGGGTGAGGTTGTGTTACCTGTCCCACCTGTGCAGCTCCTGAGAGCAGGACACAGAGAGCTGTCCTTGACACTCCTCCAAAATGTGATGTGGCAGTGGGATTGATGGGGAAAATCCTGGCCTAAAGGTCAGAAAGACAGAAATTACAGGAAATTGTTATGTTTAAAAGCTTAAATCTGTCTGGGATGCTCTTTTATCTTGAAAAGTCTAGTCTTGCTCCACTCGACCAACCTGTACATTGAAATATGTACTGTGGTGGTGTGTATGAATGTGCAAAAAGCTATAGTTCATTTTGAGCCACATTATTAAAATATTGAACACCCTATTTCTGGATAATTAAGTTTTTTACAAAGCTGTTGTGTGTGGAGTGTTCAGCATCACCCCTTGGGGTGAAGAGCACTGGGTGATGAACGACACAAAGCTTCCCCAGGCAGGGCACAAAGCTGTGGGAGATCAGAGCTCTCACAGATCAAGGTATATTGATTTTTTAAAACTGAAATAACCTGCTTTTCTGGTGAAGATGGTGCAAAGAATGGGAGGTGTTCAGTGCTGAAGTGTTGGAGGGTCAGACCCATGAGGTCCCAGCTGTCCCCCTGTCCTCACTGGCGTGGCTGGAGCAGAACAGGCTGTGTTCTCAGGGCTGTTCTCAGCATGGCACAGCTCTTGCTCCTCGTGTGAATGTAGGAGTGGGACTGCCCCTGCAGGGCTGGGAGGTGGGTTGTGGGTCACCAGCTCCTCTGAGCAGTGCAGTGTTCAGCTCGGATGCAAACACAGCCAGGCTGAGGTGCAGGCACTCGGTGCCCGCTCCTCCTGCTCCTGCCAGGACCGGGAGCCTCCCACCTGGGCACCCAGCCCTGGATGGGAAACCAGACGTGAAATGTGCCCAAGCAGGTGTGAAATCTTCAGCTACTTCAGCCCAGGGGTTTTTGTGCCAGCCAGATGATGCAGTGGGGACTCTCTGGCAGAGTGCCTTAATGAGCAGCGCTGTTGCCTTGGCAGCTGGACCTGCTCAGCTCTTGCCCGGGGTTGGCTGTGCCTCCTGTGGGGACCAGGGCCTTGAATCCTTGCCACCACCTTTATTAACCACACCAGCCCTGCAGGCTGTACCTGGGGACTGTGTGAAATGCACAATTAGGAAATGAGGTTGTCTGATGTGATTGTGGTGTTGATCCTCAGCACCGTCCGCCTGCACGGGAGTGCCTGTGCTCTGCTTTGTGGGGCTGCATTCCTGGTTCCTTTACTGTCTGAAATGTGATCTCCTTCCTGCTGTCCCTTGACTGGAGTCCTGCCCCAGTATCTCCTCATACCCACGCTGGGCATGGGCTTTGAACAAGAACTTTCTTGGCTGTAGAAAAACTCTGTTGGAATCTGGGAAGAAAGATGGCAGGAAAAGCTGCTGTTGAAATCTCTTCATCTAGGATGGGAAACAGAACTTTTAGACAGGCATGGGAGAAGAAACTGAAATGAAATATCTGCTTAAACTGACATTAAAGAGTCCTTTGAGTTCCAGAGAGGCACCTGAACATCTGGATACTTCTCCAGGCTGAAGGTTGATCACGTGAAGGTTAATCAATATAGATGATCCCTCCAATTCCAGGGGGAGTTAAAAGCAATGTTGTTGTGTCAGTCCTCGCTCTGCATTCTGATGTTCAGCCTCACAGCTGCCATGGCAATCACTCCAGAGTTTCTCCCGGGGCTTTTTGTGACTTTTCAGCTGTTGTGTAGCATTAAACTCCTTGCTGGAGACACCGTGCTTGGTTTTTGCTGCTGGGACTCTTGCTCTGGAGGCCACTGCTGTCCAGGAGGCACAATGAAGTGTGGTGTTCAAGGTTTGCCTGGAGAGCAGAGACTGCCATGGTTTAAAAAAAAAAGGAGCTTTATTGGTTTAGGTTTCATATCCTTCTCTGGAGGCTGAGGTGGTGTGTTCTGCACCTCTAATGAATAACGTGGCCTGAAGGCATCTCTTGCTGGTGGTTGAGAACTGTGCAATTGTGTTATCAGAAATTCTGCTCTGGGGTACAATTATATTATTTCAGTCATTAAAGGCAGTTCATCTCCATAATAATGGAAATCCTGCCTTGGAGGCCTAGCTGAGCCAAAATGATGTTAGTAACCTGAGTCCAGAAGGTAAATTTTATATAGGAACAGCTATAGCCCAGATACAGATCTATTGCAAATGCTGGTTGGAAACAAAGACTATTTCTGTATGGGCAGAGCTACAGAGATAATTTTCTACCCTTGATCTTCCCCTCACATTTCAGCACCAAACAGTTGTTACACTCTGGGAGAGTCATCAGTCCTGGTAATGCCTCTTTTACAGATCAGCCTTGTAGGGCCACTGGGAGATTACAAGCAGGTGGAGCATGACTGAAATACATCCACCCCTGGGAAAGCCTCACTCAGGAACAGGGGAGGGTAGGAATGGTCATCTTAAAGCTGTTCAGGCTGCAGCATCAGAGAGGCAGTAGGACACAAGCAGTGTTTAGGACCTCCTTGCCCCAGCACACTCCTCAGCAGAAGTTGCTTTCCCCTTTCATTAATCACACATAACCTGGAAGTCTGAGCCAGCTGCAGCTCGTAGGGAGTCATTCCAGAAGCCAACAAGCACCCAGAGCTCAAGGTGGAAGTGGTGTCTTCTGGCCATTGCAGAACTGTGGTGTGTCCTTAGGTCACGTCAGATCGTTCGTCAGAGAGGTCTGAGGTGAGTTCAGAATGTTTGTCACTTCCAGTTGTTTCTCCTGTATTCATATTTCCACATGTGTTTAACCTCCAGTCTCTTTATCCTGACTCCCAATACAAGAAAGTCGATTTTGGAGGGCTGGGACCTCATGTCCCAGGTCCTCTTTTCTCATGTCACACCCACATCAGTGGGACTCAGAAGTGATGCTGGACTTAAGCCCATGAGATCAAGATCAAAGAGTTACTGCCCTGCTGCCTGAGGAGGGCTGGCATTCCAAACCAGGCCAGAAAAACTGGAATTTTCCTTTAAACCCCTGAACTCCTAAATCCAAGCCTCCCCCAATCCACAGTATTTCCCATTTGTGATATGTTATTCAGTGGCAGGAGTAGGAGGGGAAGTCGTAGCAGTCAGATTGTTCTTGCAGGATTTTGTTGATCCTCTCCTAATAATTCAATTACATCTGGTGCCACAACATTAGATACATCTGTTACTGAGGCTAGTGCTCTAAAACCTTCCTTTTCAGGTGATCTGATCACAGAAACCTTTCCATTTCTTTGTCGTTTTGGCGTGGCTCCCACAGAGAGCAGCACTTATTCACAAGTGCGAGTGGTGTTCATCCTCGTGATGGTGGAAATGGTCTGCCTTGGCTTCCTGCTGTGCCTGTTCTCCTTTGCTCCCCAGTGGCAGATGGAGTGCAGGAAAACCAAGAGAACTTCTATTTAAAATATGTCCACAACGGTCCTAATTCCTGATGTTCCCCCAAAGCTCTTGGAAGTCACATTTACCCTGCCACCAGACACGTACTCAGGCCAGGACAGAAAAATTATTGTACTTTTGAGCCCCAAAACAAATTGCTTTTCTCCTGTTCTTCTTCATGTAAAGCCCCTACATCATTAGAGCTGTTTCTTTCCTCTGAATATACAGTGCCTGCATTGTTTATACAGTTTAATTGTAAGGAAAGAAAATCATAAAAAAACAAATTATGTTCTGTGCTGGTAGCAAAGAATATGAAAGTGTCCAATTAAACAGCCTTTCACTATGACTTGTGTAATAGCAACATCTGTTATCTTAATTAAACAAGCTTCTGTATAAAAAGACCCTCACAGTGCACTTTGTTAGAGCAGGATCTGACCTACATACTCCAGGCACACTCGATATCTTCATGGAAATTTTCCCAGTTGGTCCCATTATCTTGCAGCCCTGACAAGCCCTGTGATGTGTGAGCACAGTTGCACACACACACTCCGCTTGCAGCACCAAGACTGGGATTTTTTTGTAGCTGAAAACCAATAAAAGCTCAGAAAAGCAGCATATAGTGGCATTTACCCACTGAGTGCAGGCAGGAAGTGTTTGGAAGTGTAAAGAGCGCCCAGATAACTCAGACCTTGACAAATAACGTTGAGGAGACAGAGCTGCACTTCCAGAAAGTGCTCAGTTATCAAAACTGCCTTATCTGCTCCAAGGTTTCAGTAATTTAGGTGCAGACTTTGCCAGGTATTTCACTGTCACTCTCCACCACAGCCTGGAGCCAGAGACAGTCTGGGAGGGTGAGTTTGGTTCTGAAAGTCAAACCTAGAAAGGTTTGGGTTGGAAGGGACCTTAAAGACCATCTTATTTTAAGCCTTGCCATGGGCAGGGACACCTTCCACTAGCCCAGATTGCTCCAAGCCTTGTCCAACCTGGCCACTTCCAGAGCTGCTCCAGAGAGGAGGCTGAAGGTGCTGTCCTGGGGGATGCTGAGCTGCTCTGTTCTGTCCTCAATTCCCCTGGCTGG